GCCCTCAAAAGAAGCTTTCATATTTTTGAAAGTATGGACTGTTGTTCAAAACAAAAATGGTCAATTTAAAACTGATTGATCATATTAACCATGACCATATTTTGGTTATGATTAAAACAAGCTTTAAGGGGCAAGATTGTTAAATTCGAAGCACTGATTCTAAATAAAAATCAGCAAAAACTATCAACTATAATCCATAAATTGGAAAAGTTCATGTTGGTTTTTTAGTGTTTCATTTAAAGCGATTGAATCCAGATTCGAAGGATAAGATTGTTCAGTTTGAAGCCCTAAATTTGCTTTTAAAGACAAACGGAGACAAAATAAAACAATGCCAAACAACTTAGTTGTATTAAAGCAAAAACAATTACATCGAATGGCCCTCTTTGGGTACAAATTCGAGCTCATAAAAGTAAGGAATATAATAAATAACAAGATCATGGAATTTGGTCCAGCTATGGTCAATGAATTTCTGTTCTTTCTTTATTCTATCCTCTATTTCTTCCAAAATTGGCTGCTGAAGTTGATGTGCTCTCACTTGATAAAAGAGCTCTCCAGCCTTTTATTTCGAACAATTCGAAGGGACGAAAGTTGGTCTAAAGATTGTGTAGTGGCCATAGAGGTCCGATACCAGTGGAGAAGCAACGGAAGGTGATCCAAAAACATATGAAGTTCTGCTTGGGCAAGGGGATTGAGAACATGACCCCGAGTCAGAATATCACAAGCCCATCGAAGGTTCTTGAGAGGAACTTCGTCCTCAAGAACATTGAAGGGCAAATAAGAGAAAGTCGCGAGCAGAAGTAGAGCTTGTTTTCGCTCAGCAGAAGTGGGGGAATGTGGAGGCTTGTAAGGTGGAAAGATCTTATCTACAGAGAGGGCAAGCCTCAATCTCTCTATCCAACGAGGATTGGGCAGGGGAGAAGGTGTGGATGCTTCTATTTTAAGAGATGGAACAAGGGTAGAAGGAACAAGGGCATTAATATAATCAAGCTAGTCAGAAGAATAAATCTTCGCCTTCTGGGCTAAGAATGATGGATTGTACTCTTGTGCCTCTTCTAGGCGTCTGGTGGCGTGCACTATCTTTGTAGGCATGGAGGATGTATACCATGCCACAAGCAGATTCTCCTCCAAACTGCGTAGATGGTCAATGGGCACGTAAGGATAGACCACCGAGCTTCGTGCATAAGAAGGGAACTCCAAAGGGTCAGTAAATTCGACAAAGTGGTGGTTAATTCGTTCCCTCAAATCACAAGACTCAGGCTTTGACCAACTTGTCCAGTCGGAAGCACCAGAAGAGGAAGAATTCGCAGCCTTGTCCCATACGGAGGATTGTGAAGAAGAATTTCCCATGTCCATATTTGTAACTTTCTGAATTAAAGGATTGAGAGCAATTTGTTCGTAGTCCAAGGGTGAGACAGAAGAAGAACCTCCCATGTCCATATTGTTGAGTTTCTAGATCGAAGGATTAAGAGCAATATGTTCGAAGTCCAAGGGTTGATAATTTGCAAAGGCATCCATGACCTGAATATAGAAAGGTGGGTAAAAGTGGCTAATAAATGCATGGACGTTCTTTCGAGGAGGAACAGCATCGACATATGACTCTTTGTGTACTCGATTGTTGGGGGCAAAAATTAATTCGGCCATGAAATGCATCAGTCTGTTTGAATGCTAAGACGGTGGAAGCGTTCAAAGTATTAAACGAGAGTTTAATACAGATGGTGAGTGACAGTTGCATTTCTGGAAAGATGCAAAACCCATGCACGTTCTAAGACGTCGGAAAAGACCCTGATCCACTAATATCACCAAGTCTTGGGTATATTAGTGTGGGGGGTAATGTTGGCTGCATATTTTGTACAAGCAAGTTACAATTCGATGTGTGGCAAAGTAAGGGTCATATGGGAAAACCATTCAAGTCTTCGATCATGATCGTACACGTGGCAGTTGATACTGGTTGTTATGAGATCTGAGTAGCAGTGGATCAACAAAGAGATGCAAGGTGATGTGGCATCAGCGGTTATTCTTATTTAAATTCAAATTTATGAGGGAAGCTTAACTGCAAATGATGGCATAGTGGAGCTAATCTTGAGGCTACATAATCAGCGATCATAGGGGAGCAGTTCGACGATTGGAAATACAGTTCGACTGTCATCTTTGAGCAGTATAAATAGCAGAGAAGGCCCTGGAAAAAGCCCCGGACTCAGATCTAAAAAATCAGTCTTATTCTACTTTACTTTTACATACCCTATTCTTTACATTCCAGTACTTCAAATTCTGCACTGCATTTTCATTCATAGGAGTAGTTTCAAATAGTTTGTCGCTTCGAATCATTGTAAGTTTTTCATTCTAGTGAAATGTTTCAGATTTTCTTTATTTGATTGGTATTCTGTTTAAATTCTCCTAAATCAAGCCATCAGTAAAAGTCCTCTTCATTGAGAATGAGAGAACTAAAGCACAGTCGTCTGATAATAAGTTGGCAATTAAATTTCTATAAGGACTAAATTGATCCTTACTGGCACGCTCGCAATCACAATAATAACCTTCGAAAGCCAAAAGCCAACAACTTGCTAATGATTCATTGCTAAAAAAAACTAATTGCTTGGTTAGGTTTTTCAAAAAACACTTTTTAAAAAATTTTACTTTCTTTTTTTTCGTATTTTTTTGTTTTTACTGAATTTTTTTAATGTTTTAAGCAATTTTGTTAACTTTTTAGACATATCTAATATAAATTTTTTAAAAGTGAAAAATTTATGAAAAAAACCTTTTAAAAATTCATTGAATATAAAAAATACAAAAAAAAGAAGAATTCAGTACATTTTTTTATATTTTTATGTATTTATTAATTTTTTAAAATATTTTTTCACAAATTTTTTACTTTTTAAATACATCTAAATAAGGTGTATCTAAAAATGTAAAAAAATATTTAAAATTTTAAAAATATTCATTAAAAATACAAAAATACAAAAATCTCAATATTTAAAAAAACTCAATTCAAAAAATTCAAACCAAACAAAACATCTAATTTTTTTAACAAATAAGTTAGCCAAAAAGCACCGAGATATAAATAATATGCCTCCGTTTGGGAAGTGGGTTGGCTTTTTGGCTTTTTGGCTTTTTTGACTATTTTAGCCTGGGCTAAAAAGTTTGGTTTGGGAAGGGCTTTTTGACTTTTTGGCTTTTTTGACTTTTTTTGTGAGAGAAGAGTGTAATGATTATGGGTTGGATGTGATGTTTTGTTTGTTGTGGCTAAAATAGCCTGTTTTGTCTTTTGTGGCTATTTTAGCCCCAACCCAACTTGCCAAACACCACCATTGAGTCCAAGTCCACCATAATAATGAACAGAGAGAGCCTTAAAATTGTACTACATATAAATACAAACCATTGTTGGTGTAGTACTACACTTCATTAGAAAGCTAAACCCATTTTCACATGTAACTAGCTAGTTGAGCACTACTTGTGGTGGACCTCGTCCTGCTCGTCCTGCTATTATTGGTTGAATATCAACATCAACCGACCCTCTTTTCTTCTTTTTTTTTTTTTTTTTTTTTTTTTTTTGGCATAAGAGTTATAAATGGCTTTCAAAATATATATTTATTTATACTTTAATTATTAATTTTTTAATTTTTTTCTTTATTTCTCAAAATATGTGGTTTATTACACTTCAATTTGTCTGAGCAGTGTGGTTCAGATAGTTTAATAGTAAAATTATAAATTGAATAGCGGATTAATGGATTAACAAATCGCAATTTGAACGATTTTAGGTGAAATGACGGAGTGAAAAATATTTTAACCAATTATTAAGCAATTGCATAATATATAATATTAATTTATATAATATTTTTCATATATATAACTATAAATTTATAACAAATTTCATATCTTAAATATCACTCACACTTATTTTTACTATGATATTTCATTAGAGGTTAAAAAATACATATACTACAGCAGAACGGGACAATTTTGAAGGCGAATTATATAATTTAAAGTTTAATCTGCAGTTAGCAGATTGAACAGTACGAATTGATACAGTTTAGACGAATTGGGTAATATTTTACACAGCTCTACTTACCATCAACACTAATCAAAGTCAATAATGCGTGGAAGAATGTTTTCATAATTTTATTTAAAAAAATACGATAAAACTAAAAGATTGGGTGCAAAAAGGCAAAGAAATGTGTGCATGTTTTGAAAATTAAAATGAAACATAATGCATATTTTAATAATCAAAATACTACAAAATTCATAATTTGAGATTATACATGTATTTAGTTATTTTGATTTTATTAACATTTCATGTAAAATTTCAAAAATATCCCTTAAAAAAATAGAATAATTAAAAATCAAAGATTAAATTGTAATAGAATGAATCATTAATGTAATTAACCTAAACAACAATTTAAAAAGGGCCTGGCTTGTGTCCAATTTATTGTATAGATTGGATAGTGTTATTGGGCCCGTGAGGTTCACCATGGATCTTAGTTCGATAATTTGAACCGTTCAATGTATAGAGCTTGTCGAGCACTTTATCCCTGTAAAAAATCACGTTAATCGGATATCGATAACTACTTGATTGGATTTGTCGATAATTTTTTTAAAAATTATGTTTACCATTCACAGAAATCTGATTTGATCAAATAACTATTGATATCCGATCAACATGATTTTTTACAAGAATAAAATACTTAACAAATTCTATCATTGAACGATTTGAATTATTAAACATGACCCATAATAGACTCTCACTTACCCAATAACACGCTCTAATCTAATCTTAAACTTTAAGAGAAACTTATCCATTAAAAAAATCTCCCTAATGCCCTGAAGTGGTCGCTCTTTGGGATTGTCAAGTCTCATGAGTAGTACACAATTTGGGTAGTCATTGGAGAAAACTAATTTTAATTTGGTAGGTAGTACAAGATGAGCTAAAATTGTACTATCATGAAAAAGAAAAATAATTCACCAGAAACCACAGTGGCCTCTGTTTATATTATTGTGTTTTCTCTTCATTTTCATTCCCATAAGCACATAAATAAATAGAGAGAGAGAGGGAGAGAGACACTAGTGATCAAAAATGAACGCCACCACCACAGGCATGAATGGCATGAAGCAAATGCACCACAAAATGATGAACCACATGACATTTTCATGGGGCAAGAACTCAGAGAGCCTAAACTCATACATACTAAACTTGGCTTCCATATTTATGCTTTCCATGTTGGTGGAGTCTCTCTCCCACACCCGTCTTATTCACTCCGGCATGAACAATGTTGCGGCTGGGCTTCTACAGACTCTAATGTATGGCGTTCGAATCGGACTCGCTTATTTGGTGATGCTTGCTGTCATGTCCTTCAACATCGGAATCTTGCTCGCCGCCGTCGCCGGATATTCCGTCGGATTCTTAATCTTCGGTAGCCGATTGTTTGATAAATCGGAGACCGCGGCGTATCAAAAACCGACCGATCTTCCTCCGTTGAATTGCTGATTTTTTAAGGCAAGAGTGTGTTTTATTGTAACTTTGTAAGATGCAATTATTGTTTATGAATTTGAACAAAATGTTAAGTATAAGGTTAAAATTAAGCTATTTGAAAGTATAGGAATTCATTGGCTTAATTTGCCATTTTAATTTTGTTTGGAATTGTTTATGTGATCTTTTTTTAAATAAAGAAATGAATATGGACAAATGGACATCTGCCGTGATGTAATTCAATATTAAGACTATTAAAGTAATACAAATTAAAAATCCTCTATGGTTATTGTGAATTTTTTTAAAATTATAAATCGTAACAAAGAGTTACATATTTATTATACAATAATAATAAAGAGTTTTAATTTTGAAATTCTAAAGAAAATTTTAATGATGTGATAAAGAGTAGAACTCACACGTTGTGTTTTTGTTTTTTTATTTTTATTTTACCACATCACTAGAACACGAGTTTCAAAATTAGAGTTTTCAATCTTTATTCTTTATTATAATACAAATGCCATTATCATTTCTATTAATACATGGAGTGCATCGATATTAAAATTTAAAAAAGAAAAAAGAAAAAATCAGTTCGTATAACTCAATAACACATATAGACAAATATTTGAATTCACACTATAAGTTACAACATGTGAATCTTCGATGATGCATGGGTAAGGATCATTGTATGAAAAAAATCCCTCACTTTAGGTCTGCGTAAAGTCAGAAAGAAACATATGGAACAGATTGGAAAATTTTTTATTAATGGCCAAGAATTGTCTGTTACCGTTTAAAAGTGTTAATTATAATTTATTTTAATTTAGAAGTTTGTGTTAAATTATTTGATACAGATTCTATTTATAGTTTATGAAATAGAAATAGAAATAGTTTAAATAAGTTAAAAAAATATTACTTAAAATTTAAAAACTAAATATTTTTAATTTATATTTTATAATTTTTAATTTTTAACTTAAAAAAGTCTTACCAAACGGGGCCAAAATGTATTATTAGTTTGAAGCTCTTGCCAAAGTAAATGCAATTGTACGAGTACGAAATAATCTTATCATATAATCCTGTTGATCAAGTTTGCACTTCCTCCAAACGTTGTCGCTTTACTCCCTGAAAATACAAACGTGAGCTAGCCGGCGGGTGTGTGCTAGATACCTCTCCGATGCCTAAGTCAGCAAAATAGACAAGTAGACAAAAACTCTATGTATTCGGGAATAAAGTTGTGATACTTGTACATAGGTCCTGCTATAAGCTTCTATAGATTATGCCTCGCCCAATCCTGGTAGGATTCCAACTCTCTCTATAAGAGTCCTCCTAGGGATCACACACCCTACTCACTACCAACCAAATGAGATGATTTGCACTATCCCAGTAGAACTCTACTCTCCTTAGCAGAGTCCTCCTAGGAGTCTCATGCCCAAGGATGATGTTTATCCTTAAAACACCCTCATCACTACTTTAACCAAGTGAAATGGTTTTACCTCGGTAGTATGACAAAACGACCGAGCTAACATTGCCATGCTTAAGCGGTGGATTTGACCGAGCTTTACCTAGCTCGGATCTTCCCTTTAGCTTCCTGTACCTCGGTTCGGCATACTCCAACTGGGCTATCTAAGTTATTTAAGACCGAGCTAACTAGGCCCAACGGTGAAGCCTACTCCACTTAGCCCACAGCTCGGCTCACCTTCACCCGATCCTAGCTCAGCCCAGATTTACGCTTTTTACCCTCTCAATTGCCTCTTAATGCCATCTGCAATGCATGATTGGGATTACTTTTCTTTAGCCGAGCTAAAAATATTCAAGCCAACCGAGCTCACCTTCCACCGGACTACCGATGAGTTCGGTTCATAAACATCTTTTCAACTTCTCTGTACGTCTGAACCGTTTTCGATTCTATTAGACACGTGGCCGACTCCCATTGGTCAAGCACAGCTGTCATAGCCGTCTTCATACTTCGCGTATTTTGAACAGTCCCACCCATTTTTAGGTGCTTTATACAAAAGACCCCATATTTCGAACCAAAACACTACCACTGTTCATCTTCCTTCCTTCGTCCTCTGAGAACCTGTGCATTCGAAGCTCCATACTTACTCCTTCATCTTTGTTGGCCGCTGCTTCTTCACGACTTTGCATTCGTAAGTTTACTAATACCTCTTTATGCTTGTTCTTTTTAACTATTTCTTCATTTTTGATATTCAATCTTCACATATATATCTATATATACTAGACATGCACCATAGTACTGAGCAAAATGAAACAAACCCCAAACCTTAGGCTTGAGCTTAAAAACACACTGTCTGGATTCAGAAAACATGAGGCTGAATCCAGAATTGTGCTGCAACCGGGCTATATACCTGTTTGGGCAATTTTAGGCTTAAACCCAATCAAACTAAAAGTGGTAACCAAGATGTTAACCGACTGTCAACTGGGCTAGAGGCCTTAAACTGGTCCTTATTTATGACCGAACTGAGAAAGTGGACACAACCCTGCAAACCAATTTCTAACCAAACTAGAGGCCTTGCGCTAACCCTTCTGTACCACCAAATTGAACACTGCCACTCAGACGAACCGAGCTAAGCTTTCACAATTTCTTTTGCAAATTGACTTTTTACTTAGTCCGGTCTAGATATCTAGGCATAACACTTCTTATTTCCACTTTGCAGACTTGACTAGGTTGGCCAGGCACACCTTTGCACGCTCAGCCGAGCTACTCAACGTCATCTCGACACCAAGCTAGGCCACCGCGTTAATTTATAAACAATTTAAGTTAAATGGGTAAATATCTGTTCTTAGTAAACTCCCCTGGGACCATTGTCGAATTCCGCAAAGACTACAACATTCCTGATGATGTCCACCTTTCACTAGCCGATCTAGATACCACGTCCTAGGGAAAACCAGGCTTTGTACCTTTCACCGTGATATCCATTGTTGAAGCTGGACTTCGATTTCCTATTCAGCCACTCCTTTGTGAATTCTTTAGGCAGACAAGACTCTGTCCGACCCAGTTAAGTACCAATTCTTACAGAATAATAAACGGCATCGCCGAGCTAAATTGTCGGCTTGGCTTCAACTTGGGTTTAGCCGAGCTATTTCACCAATACTCACTTGGCCAGAATGAAGACGGCTGAGTGTATTATTTAAGAATAAGAAAACGTCGAGAGAAAATAATTAAAAACAAACCGAACAAAGACGTGAATAACGACGACTTTTTCTGGGTTTCTGGCAATTTTGAAGACCAGGAAGCCCAGATACCGGGCTATGGTATTAACTGGAATAAAGGAACAACCAGTATGAACACCTCGGCTTAATTTGTCCGTTATTTGCCCTTGCTGTTTATAAGCTTTTCACCGTGCTAGCCGTTGCCTTTTTCCATATGCAGATTTGGACCACCTAAAGTCACAATACCAGTACCCCAACCTAGACACTCTTCGCGCCGCGCTTCGGTACCGCGATCGAGGTTGGGCCGAGCTACTCAATTTTGAACCGACCTACTGATAGAGTGGAAGAAGGAAGGTCAGGGTAACTGACTTTCTCCTTGAACCATCACCAGAACCGGACCCAAACTTGCCACAGATTAACCTCATACCTTTAACCGAAGAACAGGAAATGGCCAAGCGCCGAGCTGTAAGGGCACTGATCACCGAAACAACGAGTAACACCAGCGAGGGACAGACCGAAACAAGACAAGCCGGCCAAACAAACGAGGCTGTGGTGGCCCTCCCAACAGCCCGTGCCTCGTCATCCAGGCCAAGCAAGCGTGCTCGCACTTCCTCAACCGAGCCGCAACACCTTGTTGACGAAGATAAAACCGTGCTCCCACAAATCACCCCGCCAAGCCTAGAACCCGTGCGTTCTGACCAGGCTAGCTCTTTAGAGTGGGCACCAAAACTAACATTCAAGAAACGAGCCATAGCGAACATAGACTCAGTGGTGGCAGATAAAGACCACACACTTGCCTTCAACCTTGCAAAAAATATGTGTCTGCCACCCGATATGGAACACCATGACCATCTTACCAAGCTCAAGGCCATCCGCTCAGCCACTAAATCGATGGTGCTGGTAAGTGCTTTTTTGCTTTCCAATTTTGTGCATCTATTTGCTCGGTTTTACTCAAAATTTCTGTCTGCGCTTTTGCAGGCCATGCAGAAGAATCACGTTGCTCATAAGCGCGTACTATAGCTACGTAAGACAACACAGCTGGCTGTTACAGACGCCAATACCAAAACGGCTGAGCTGAATGAGGCCAAGCAAAAGATGGCCGAGCTTGAATCTGAAATAGCCCGACTCACGGGGCTGGTCAACTCGGCTAAAGTAGATAAGCAGAAGGCTTTGGCCAAGCGAAAAGACAAATATCTGCGCGAGCTAGCCAAGCTCAAGAAAAAAAAGGGGGCAGAGATCACCGAGCTACAGAAAAAGATGGAAGATGCAGAAGATCGTGGCTACAAGGAAAGAGAAGCCACCTACATTCTGTAATGCGAAGCTTCAATGGATATATCTTTCAAATGCAGATGGAAGGTGGCTGCCACAAAGCTCGGTTTTGGCCAAGAAACCGAGGTCTTTCAGAACCCTCCTCCCACTTCATTCCGAGTTACATAGCGGACTACGCCAATGCTATCCAAGAAAAATTACTCCAAGTATGGGAGGAGGATGAGGCATCCCTAGAACTAGAAAACGCCCCAGCTGCTACTAGTGACCACGGTCTCCAAACTGCTCAGTCAGCTCGGGTGGATCCACTGGTGCCCATTACAGTTGAAGATGTGGCTGTGATCGACCTTCCTGTTGGAACAGGGCTACCGAGTGGTGAAGCTCGGGTTGTCCTGGATGCAGATCTGGATGATCTTTTTGCCTGATCTTGTATTTTCTTTTTTCAATGCTAACTTTTTGTATGAATTTGTAACCGGGCTGAAGCCCCACCTCTTGTAGTGTAGTTTTGATCTTGAATTAAATATATTCTTTTTCCATTCTTTTTTGGCCGGTTCATACCCTGCTTGTGTTTGTCTCAACTTTAATTGGTATGTCTAGAACTTTTTGGCCGAGATAACCATCCCGGTTTGTTAGCTTTTTAATCTGTTTGTCTTTAACCTTCTCTAGCCTAGATCCTTATCTCGGCTGGAAAGACATAAATGTTGGTAATTCTTGCCAACCTCCTCAGCCTAGATCATTATGTTAGCTAAAGAGAGATAAATGCTGGTTATTCCTGCCAACCTCTTCAACCTAGATCCTTATCTCGACTGAAAAGAGAT